ACTTCATTTCTTTGCCTTTGCTACTAGCCTGGAGTTCTTCTGCCGTGCATTTATCTGGGATAGGAAAAGAGTTCTGCTGTGTACTAACATTCACTTCATCTTGTGAGCTTCATTTCTTGGTCGGGATTGGCATATCATGGAAAACAGGCCTTTTTGTACTCCTTTTTTTTTACCTCTTATTTACCCGTCTGCTCTACATCTTGCTGTTGTTCATTTTCCCTTTCTTTTCTGTCTCTTCTGTTCCGTCACGATGTATGCTATAGCGACCGTACACACGGTGTATAGGAGGAATCATGAGTTGGTTGTATGCATCTGTCTTTTTGCCCCCCTGGGTTCGTATCAAACAGTATCAGATTGTAACGGCCTTCCATTGTGCTGGTCTGTATCCCCCCTGTCCCGGGTCTGACGTGGGAGCTCCAGTTGTGTCATAGGCTCCACGGCCAGGAGCGTCCCCTTTTTCCTTCACACCCTCAACTCATCCTTCCAGGTGGGCCGCATGCATACCGAAGCAGGCCAACGATCGCAAGAACCCTCATAATTTTGCAGCTTCGCCGTGTGACCCTCAAATACCTCCGTACTTCATGTTATGGGGTACTGACTCTGTGCATCGGGGGGTGATTGAAATGCCCACCCCCCCTCCACTCAAATCTTCGTAAAACTGTGAAAAAGCAACCATTAAGCTTTCCAATCAGCTGTCATGTCTGGCCTCTTTTCAGCTTTGCTTTTTCTTCAAAGGACATTGCTTTTTCTTTCGTCGTCACTTCGTGACTGGCTGAATTGGCCCTATCCCGTTTTTATTATTCAAAAAGAATCGACTATTTCTCTCATGTTGTGTGTTCTGGAAAGAAAAGTGTCCTTTCTTATCCGTACAGCCCGTCAGCTCATTCAAGTGTCAAAGCGCGGACATATCAAATACAAATCACGGCAGTGCATAGCTAGAAATTGATGCCGCGAGCCTTGCCATGACAGAGTTTTTCTAACTCCCCATCCTTCTTCTGCTCAAGTCGTGACTCAATCTCATGCATTCCACATTCCAGTTGTGCCATCTGGCTCCTTGGGTGTGCAGTGAGTATACGTATACCACAATGACGTCCATCTGAGGGCTCGCGTTGGACAATGAGCCGCCTCGGCGTTGGTTGAATGAAACAGGGCCATCCATGTGCGTGCGGAATTGCCCACTGGTGGCTCGCAGGAGTTTTATTGTTTTATTTAATCTGTTGATCGCAAGACTGTGCTGTGTGTCCTGAGAGCTACGTATTCCTGAACTGCAGTTAACTCAAGTAGAAAAAATTATTATTATTTTTTTCTGCGATGGAATCCCTGACCTTGAGGCCGATAACTTTTAGAGATCCTTGGACGAACTCGGGATTTCTTTTCGCTTGGTTCCTTTTTTTTTTTTTTTCCGGCGCATGAGCATCAACTCTTGTCAATCTCGCGAGCGCCGTCTCACTCTTGAGGGAAAAAAAAAAAAGAAAGAAGAGCGACCGAAGAACAAGCCCAAGGAAGGAGTCAAATTTTTTCTGACTGGATAGAATATCAGTAAAAAGAAGGAAAAGAAGAAGAACAGATGCCATGAGCAAAAAAGCAACGACTAACTCACCAACCGTGGAAGCTCGCCAACTACGCCAGGTTCAATCTTCCCAATGGGGCGACGAAGCCATGAGATCTCCGCTAGAATTCGATGTGGACTGTATACAGAAACTCGTACAATTAACTCACCACTATAGAATGACGATACCGGGCCCTCGAAGCTGCATGATGGCCCCTTGCTTCATCTTATCTCGCCAGATAACCACAGCATCTCATGACAAAGGCAGAGGGACGCGTGTGCGGTGGCATCTGCATTCCATCCAGCATTTCCCAGCAGACCCTATACTAGAGTCGGTTAGTTACTGAGGTCAGTCAACAAGCTAAAACACTTACCAACCACCCTCCAGGGCAAAGCTTGAAAAAGAAAGGAGACGGAGCAAGATGATGAGGACAATAATGGATGAGAGCAGGCAGAAAAAGCAAAGAAACAAACGTCACGTTATGAGGCTGCTTCTCGATCCATTTGATTTGATCTCCCCTGATGCTCCTCTGCGTTTCTTCTGCTGCTCTGACGAGCCTATGGGAATGCTGATTCATAATTCAGCAAGCTAGCTAGAAATCAGCTCTGTTGCACCAGTATCCAGGTAGCAGCCGAGGTAGAATATGCAATCTCGCAGCCAACCTGCAGAACGAGCGAATCGCATCCAAATGAAACATTTTGCTTCACTTTGTAACAGAGTGACCCATGGGCAGAGCAAAGAGGGTTGGCGGATATATATCCCGAGTTCCGCCAGGTGATGGATGGTTGACCAGTTCAGCTGCCTTTGACATTGAGCACCTACATACATCACTTTAATTAGCTCAGTTAACTAGTTAGGCAGTTAGTTCGAAGAGGTCAAAGATGCAGAATGGGGGTCTTCTCTTGGATCTGACTTGGATCCGAGTCCTCGGGCGGCGCACGGCAGCCAGTGCTCATTTGATGCACCCTAACTCTATAACTATCTCCCTGTGATATTGCTGCTTGGTTCACTCACAAAAGCTGCTCCCCTAGCCACTCGTAGCTGACCGGGCACCTCGGCGCCTTGGGCGGCCGTTTCATCCTGTCCATTTCACTTCCACTAGTGAGATAAGTTCTTACTCTTTCGGAAAACCCAGCGGATCACAAGCGTCAATTGCAGACCCAGGCAGGGCAAAGGCATCTACCACCAGTATTAGCAAAACAATTAACTCTTAGGCTTGCATCTCCAATCCCCATCCAAGAACAAGGAAAAAAGCAAAGGGAAGCATGGCTTATGAAAAAGCCAAGATAGTTAAAGAAGGCTCTTCTTTTTTTAGCCCTCACGGCTTCATAACTTTGCTGCAGAGTGTTTTTAGTGAGCCATCCGGGTTCATCTCTTGGAATCTGACTGCTATCATTAGCTCGTCTTACTAATTCCCCGTATGGTGCGCTTACCCCCTATTCGACAGCGATATCTTGCTCAGCCTTTTCTTCTTCCTTAGTCTCGACGTTTATTTCCCGTCTACCAAACAGCGTCGTCCAGAGTCGATGCCTTGGGTCGTCGGCTTTCGGGTTCGACTCGCCGGTGTCGTCGACAGCCAGTAATAGACTGCTTGTCATGCCTTTTCTTTTATCCTTCATTCCCCCCACGGCTTGGTTTGTTCCTATTCTTGTCTTTTCCTGCTCCTGCTGAGGTGAGGTTGTTCGTTAAACCGTATTTACGGATCTAACGCCGTCGTGATGGAGGATTTTTTTTTTGCAAATGCCGTGCATTGCTAGGTTGGATATCCAGCTAGCATCTCCATCCCTGCCCCCAACCACCCTCCCTCCCTTGCTTGTCCCTCGCACCCTTGAGGAGATCGTTCACCACACTCTCTAGGGCTGCAGCCATTCTATACTTAGTCTGCTTTGTCCCGTCAGCAGCCAATCGAGATACCATCGGCCCTTTGGTTGAGTATTACCGGGCCACTGTCGGGCCACCGATCCGTGTCTCACTCGGGAGATTCGACGGCCTCCAAGGCCCGCTGAGTGTTCTTTCTTTAGGATGAGGAATTATACATTTGGCTAGAAGGGAGAAAACTAACCTGGCCTTTGCTTTTCTCACATAGCCGTCTTTTCTCGGCCTGTCACTAGCAGGTTAGCTAGCTGGTGCAGTGTGCAACGTACGGTAGCCACAGAGCTGAGACACCGGCAAACCCTCGCTTTCCGGCGACTCACCTCGCAACCGCCTCTCCGCCCTCGCGATCTGCGCAGGAATAACCAAACCTCTCACTTCTTCCATCCCTCACCCATGTCTGCTGGCCGCTGACTGCTATTAGTTACTTATATGCACACCGCAGACGATCGCGAGAGATGAACATCGGGTTTAGTTAAACTTCCGCTGTGGAGGACGGAAGATAAACCTTGTTTCGGTGGAGCCGCCTTCTGCCCTAACTAACTATTTCGTTCGTCTGGATTGCCGATCGCGATGTTTTGGCCTGGGACTCCACACATCTGCTGGTTCCTGAGACAGGGACAGCCTCGCTCGAGGGACCGACTATCGCTCCGAAGAGGGATAGTCTCTTCTGCGCGAAATGATACCCCCTGCTAGCAAAAGAATTGGCTGCAAGACATGCTGCTGACAGCCAGGCGGCGTTGGCCATTGGCAAATCCCGTATTCTGCGTTGTTCGATCGTTCGATAACTGATGGCCGTGGGATCGACAGAATTGCCAGCTGTAAATGGAAATGGCTGCCTTAATCTGTCGTCCGAAGACCTAGCTCGACAACATACCCCGGGCTGGCGGGGTTCCAAAAGGAGATTTCTCGCAGGAGGTTCCCCAGATGGCGCTGGGATGGGCCTCCAAATGACTCTGTTGGAATACGGACGGACTCAGTCAGGTTCACCTCGCTGAGACCAGCTACGCCACCCATTGATCATCCCAACCGGTGGGATGGGACGAACAAACTTCCACTTACGAATTTTTTATTCAGAGATATTGCAAGAGGCCACCATTTTGAAAGACCGGGCATACCCGCTACGGATTAGACTCGAGAGCAATCAATAGCCGGAAAAAAATTTGCAGGAAACGCCAACGGGCCTTATCTCTCTATGGTCAACTGATCTAAAGATCAATGGCGCTAACTACTTCATTGACATACATACCTTGTCAATGTGTATCTTGACAGCTTGGAGGCGGGCGCAGTCAATCCAGCCAAAATTGCTCTGGAACGCATCGGCAACGGCACTTCCCATCGTGACACACTACTGCAGAACACTTGGATACGCCTCCCTTCCTGCTAGCAGAGTCCTGGTAGTATTCTGGAAGAGGCGGGATCGGGTACCTGTTAATTAAGAAACAAAGGGGGCGTCAATGTGGAAATTGTGCGTGTATATCAGCCAATAGTTTGTCCAACACTCTTGTATGGACCGATCATTTACTAAGCACTGGGAGCTTGTATTGACTGTTTGAGGTTAGAGCCAAACAAGGATATAATATATTCGCTGTCCAGCTGAGGGAGCGCATATCAAAAAAAAAAAAAAAAAAAAAAAACTAAGCTAGTTTGGTAAGAGAACGCTCAGGTGAACCAGCCGAGAGTTGACACACGGTCCAAGCGGCGTACATATAAGTTGTATACTCACCTTTATTTCTTTTGCACTAGCCCGTGTCTTGAGGCAGAGCAGTTTCGCCCTGCATCAGCTGGTACAGCGGTCAGGTCAGTCGGAGATTGCAATTGGAAAATTGAATGGCCCAGTTGGGCAAGTAGCCATGTCCATTGGAAAAGGAAAAGGAGGTATATTCGTATAATTTACATGGAAAGTAAAAAATATGTAGTGAGATAAGTCCCCCGAAAGAGGATAGAGATGATATAGCGCCAATTAGTGGTTGAAACCTCCTCAACCTCAGGGTAGCCACCATATTTATTTTGCCATCCGTCCGTAACACGCCAATGGGTTGTTGTTTTTCTCGCTGCAAACAATAAGACATATGCTCATGTCGAATGACGAAGAGAGGGATTGTAAAGGTAGGAAGTGGTTTGTGGAGAACTGGCCATTCACACATGAATGAACCAGGGTGCTGCGGTTTCTCGTTTGATTTATGTGGCTTGATGGTGAGATGTTCAAAAGGGGCGACTATGCGCCTCCAACAAGGATGTTGTTAACGGGAATGTGTACTGCGAGGTAAGATGATCCGTCAGCATCCTGTGTTTTCTGTTATAGTTGCCTGTATCAAGAGAAAGACTAACTCAGCTTGATGAAGTATCCAATGGCTCCCATGATAAGGAAGCCGAATCCCACGGCCTGGCTGATCTTGAGGAACTCGCGCTTATCGGCTATAATTGAAACGAGCTGTCAGTCGAGACTATATCTTCTGGCGGTCTTAAACGACCAGGCACAACTTCGACGAACGGGACATACGCTTTGTGCATCGGTTCACGAAGAGCATGCCATCCTTGACGAAGTCCTTGGGGATATCAGCGAGCTCCTGGAAGGCGTCCGACATGGCGACTGGTCCAAATTGGCGTGTAGCTTGTAAAACAGCGGGGGTGCGTAGGATATCGATATCTCTCTCTCTCTCTCTTCTTTTTTTTCTTGTGGGCTTCTGGAGTAGTCTATGGCCTCGCTGTTGATCCTCTTCGGCGTCGTCGTTTCGTCGTCTTCGATCTCGCCGTCCATCTCGATCTTTCGCGTAAAGGTTGAGGTGTCTTTTCGGAAACTTGTTGTTCCATTCCGTCCACGTGACTTAACACGCTAAACCTCTTTCGGTGGCGCAACGTCCCTTCGTCGTTTGTTTTCGCGTTCAGTTCGAAATCTCAACGACGACGACATCAAACACCCGCACCGTCAAACGCCTTCTCGCAGCTGCGCTCTTCATCGCCAGGATACCGTACTGGATTCTCTGTTGCGCGCGCTGGATTCTTGCTGAGGCGCCGGTTCTTTTGCTCTCCTTCGCCACGCATTCGCGGCCGTCTTAGAGCTCGAGCTACAGCCGACAGACAGAGCCGGATAGGCAGGCAGACGGAAGAGAAGCTCTTACAGCTAACCAATCCACCCCCTTTCTCACTTACCCCCTGAATATCTAACAGCTTGTTCTGCCCTTCTTATATCTCGTTAGGGTGTCTCCCGTTGCTCTCTCACTCGTTTCCTCGGTGGAGGATCAGGCGCTAATCCTGTTGGAACCCTTACTTGTGACAAACAATAACCGCTGTGGTTAATTTTAAAAAGAAAAAAGAACAAACATCCTCTGTCCTGTACTTGCCATCGAAGGCAGTCGGGCTTTATATCTGGCTGAACGAAGAAGACCTCGCTTCTGCCCATCATCTTGTCTTGTGTGTGCCCATTCTTTGAAACAAAAACTACTATAACCAACGGGATTTGTACGTATCTCTTTTTTGATTCTTCATTGTTTTTTATTCTTACCTCTCATGGCATTTCGATACCCTGGTTTTTTGGTGTCCATGAAGCCATATGGACAGCGGCAGACCACGACAATCTCTACTACAACACCATCAAACTCACGTCTATTGATGTACATTTCCTTGCTAATCTGGCTCCCTGATCCACAGACCTGTACTCTTCAAATCCGTCGAATCAAGACAACTACCCCCAGAAAAGCTGTGCATAACGAAATAACAAGAACAGAAATCAATTCATTGCTCTCATCCTATAAGAGAAAGCAACCCATCTCAGAAAAGAAACAGGCTTCCCAGACAATAAATTGCAATGGCGACTGAAGATGATAACTTTGATATTGATATCTACGGAGATGGAAGTGGATTGATCGATGAAGGTCAGGACACGACTTTTAAAACCGAGGAACCAGACCTAGTACTCGATGGCCCTGACACGCAGCAAGGTGGCGGGAACGCAGATGGGTCCGACGAGAAGTATGGCAACAGTAATAACAACGTGGACAATGACAGCCATAAGATATTCAAAACAGAGAAGTCTCAATCGGAGGCACCACACTCCGGCCACAATCTACCACAGCAGCCTCCAGCGCAGCAACAGCAACAGCAACAACTACCCCAGCAGGGCGTCAAACGAAAAGAAGCTGATCCAGACGCCACATCCGCGCTGTACGTCTCAGATCTGCATTGGTGGACAACGGACGATGAGGTTCGTGGATGGGTAAACAAGGCTGGCGTGGAAGCAGACCTTAAAGATGTCACATTCAGCGAACATAAAGTGAACGGAAAGAGTAAAGGGTATGCGTACTTGCCTATTCTTATATTAGTCCCGGTGTACCGCATAATATGTGCTAATCCTTCACAGTCAAGCGTTTGTCGAATTTACATCAGCCCAAGCCGCTACAATAGCCAAGCATAAGATTGAAGAGATGAACAATTCCCAGCAAGGGGGGCGTAAGTATTCTGTCACTTATACCCAACCTAACATCAATCCATTTAAAACCCTACCAAAGGAGAACCCCATGCGTGGTGGAAAAGACGATCGAACCCCCAGAGCTACACCCCCAGGTTTCAATGCCGGTCAGGGTAACTTCGGCATGAATAGCGCCGTTGGATTCCGCGGCGGCCGTGGCGGGTTCAATAATCGTGGCGGAATGAACCAAAACATGGGCTACAATAATAGGAACTTCACTCCTATGGGTGGTGGCTTCCAGGGTGGAGCAGTCGGAGGCTTCCAAGGCAACCCTATGGGCGGCATGCAGAATTATGGAGGGTTCAACAACCGTGGAGGTATGATGAACAACATGAGAGGTAATCCTAACATGCGTGGCCGCGGAGGCATGGGTGGCATGGCCAGCCCCATGATGCCCGTTGGCGGACCCGTTGGCAACATGGGAGGCGTTGGAGGCATGGGAGGCATGGGTGGTATGGGAGGTATGCCCATGGGAGGAATGCCAAACCAAATGGGAAATATGATGGGCGGAATGCAAGGAGGCAACATGGGGATGCAAGGTGGGTGCTGATGATACCATATTCGTCGTATTTTTTCTTCTCTAACCAGAGCGGCTTAGGACAAGGCTTTCAAAACCAGAATCCTCATTTCAACCCGGCCTTCTTTGGCGGTGGTGGCAACGACAGTGGTGCTTGGAATCCTCACGGAGTCAAGCGAACTCGACAGGAGTAAAACAATGCGGAGAGAGCAGCGAGCCTGTTCATCTTCTATCATTGCTATCTACCCCTAAGAGCACTTGATGCCATTGACGAGCCCACTAACGGGTCTTTCCAGCGGGACTCGTACCTGAATCATCTTGCCGATGATGTGTTGTCTCTGTATTGAATAACCCAATATGTCTCTTCCACCTGTCATGAAAAGCTGTTGGCCATGGCCCCAACTCTCGCTCGACTACCCTATCCCACGGGAAATACGGTGTTTGTTCCTTTCATTATTCAGGCGAAAGGCTCCTTACCATCTCATTTTCTTCTTCTTTTTTTTTCTACTTTTTCATAATTTGTTGAGGGCATGGATTTGCTTCTTATGTTTTGTTACTATCTTTTCTTTTCTGCCTTATTAATGAGCAAACGGTGTCTCTGTCTCTGCGGTTTAAATGGCTCGATCTTAGTGAAGTGCCCTATCATATGGAGTTTTATAGGATTTAGTTTTAGGTGTTCGAAATGGTGTTCTTTTGTCTTTAATAATACACATTTATCCTGTCAGTCAAGCAGTAATTCATTGTTTTTGAACTACTCCCCATTGGGAATGGAAATTCATTCGTAATTTATCCTTCTCACACCGTAAGGAGATATAAAAGCGGGATTGTCTCATTAGTAAGAAATAGTTATAGACATAAAGAGACTATTAGCCTGGTAACCATCCTCACAGTTTCAATAGTAAGAGTGGACATTTGTTTCAAGCATAAGCCCAAGGACTAAGAACCACATTAACTCCTGCTCGTGACTGAACAAAAGAAACTCCCATTCATTAATAAATATCCGATACAACCTTTAAGTCCCATCAGATGGTTTTTCCTGTGTCTTAACAGATTAATAGTCTTCATATTCGGACCCCAGAACAATTGAATCCTGGCCGGCTGGTAGTTGAAGCTCAGATTCCAAATGCCAGCCCATTGAAGGAAGCCCTTCATCGTCCTCTGCATCGTCGGTCCAGGAGTGAACTGTACATGTTCCTTCCGACATACCCCAGCCATTCCACGAGGTAGCTAGAATTAGAAAAGTCTTAGTTAGATATTTATTTCGAGTATCATATCATAGACAGATATAAGGCACTAGGCGTAGAACATACCTGCTATCACTGGGGCGTTGGGGTGCCAGCTGACATCTCTCACACAAGTTTTAATCTCCTTAGGATCCAGGTCATAGGAACGAGGTGTGCCTCTAGGTGACCAGGAGTGACGAGTGGTTCCTCCGACATCGATCACTTTTGCCAAAGTAGCATCCATATTATACACGTATACCTTGCCATCATGGCTTCCTGTGTATACATATCTTGAATCCGTGCTTCCCGGGGGTGAAAAGTGACAGCGTATTAAAGTCCGAAGTACACCATGACCATGGAACGTGACAACGGAGCAATCATCGGGATGAGGAATATAATCTGATTCCAAGTATGGACTGAATCGATAGTCAAAGCCCGTTGAATATCTGATATGGTTCATCCCATCAAATTTAGCTGTTGTCATCATCTTCCTCAAGTCCCAGAGCTTCATGGTTTGGTCTTTACTGTTCGATAGTACATATCGGCCATCTCCTTTGCTGTCAACAAATGTTATACCTTCTGTGTGACCGACGAAAACACCCGCTTCTCGGCCATCCGCCATTGATCGACGATCGCATACGCGAATGGTAGAATCGTCGGAACCTGAGTAGAGGATGTGGGGTGACATTTTATCTCCGTAGCAAACAGCATTGACGTCGTCTGAATGTTTGCGTAGCTGGAGTATTGTCCGCTGCGTTTCTAAGTCGTAAACAAGGACAGAGTTGCCAGAAGTTCCAGCTACTATCTCGCGGCCGTCACCAGAGAAACGGACCGACCATATCTAGTCATTAAGTCAGTTGGATATCTAACAGAACATGATGAACAAGGGGATACAAGTGAATAACGCACCCCAAAGCGGGTTCCAAACATCGAGTTGAACGCGGCACCCTGTGGCCCATGTTCAAAACTCAAAAGAATAGGGTCTGTCGATGAAGCAGGATCTGTTCCGGCCAGGCAAACGATGTTTCTTATGGAGCTGTATGCCAAAGATTTGTTGTCTGGGCTCAGAGTTGCATCTGTTATCGTCCACTGGCCGATGGGGTATTCCACTGTTTTGTAATGTTTCCAGATATATGGGTTGGAGGTATCATACATCCGAACATTGAAATCTTGAGAAGTCACGAAGAAAAAATTACCATCATCAGAGAACTGACCCGAGTAACACGGATTCTCATAGTGTATGATGGTATCAGCAGCTGTGCCAGGAATTAGGCGCTAGCAATTGATTTATTGTCAGCAGGCACAGAATAATTTTAAGTATCATGAACATCAAGAAGACGAGATAGGGTCTAATCGTGTAAATTAATAGTCTCTTACCTGGGATAGTTCACGAGAAGATCTAATTTCGGTCCCTCGGGGCCCTGCCCCGAGCTCTCTATACATCAGACTTGTTGCCAGCTTCTTCTTCCGGCCCTTCAGTCTGTCGACATAGTAAGGATTACTGCCATAGTCTCCGGAAATCATGAGCTCTCTGCCCGTCTGGCTTGGAGGTTTCGGATATCTACTAGGTCCTGTCCTTCTGGTGCGACGGGTTGCCTGTACGCCATAAATATCATAACCTTGGCCATTTTCGTTTGATCGCGAGCGCAGGACTCCATGGCCTTGTAGAATACGATGAAGCTCAGTTGCCCCAATTAGGCGGAATAGTTGTGCAGTGGTTACTAACAACAATCCGATCAGCAAGCCAAAAGGGAAAGAAATTTGAAGATTCCATGCGAGGGAGATATTGCTGCCCATACTTCTTACACGCTCTGGATTTTGAGGCTGCCCTTCCCCGCCAGGCCCTGCTGCTGTTGCCGCGGTTGTGTCGCCTTGCGCCGGATAGACTGAAAACTGAAGTTCTATATTGTGCCCGTCCTCACCACTATCATCGTTATCAAATCTGTCGTCTTCGTCATCATACTCATCCTCATCACCATCTTCTTCTTCTCCATCGTCATCATCGTCACCATCATCCATATCAGCATCATCCATATCATCTAGGTCTCCAGCTGATGGATCCCAGTGACCAGCGTTGCTAAAACCTGCATCAGTCTGGCTATCTGTATTCCCGACTGTATCAACGCTACCCCATTCATGGGCTAGATGGTATATGGAGTCCGGTTCCGCAGGCGACACCGCTTCCTGGCGGCTGGAGGGATGACCAGACATGGTATAGCCGAGCGACCTGTAAGATGTATCATGTACCACTGAAAAGCGGGTGATAATAGCTCATTCAATGTGCAAAGCGGCCTGGCCTTGCTGATAAATATGTCCTCTCCCCCGATGTCCGAACGGCCGTGGTGGATGAATTGTCGGATAGGTACCCTGTAGTTAGGTCGCTAGCTAGTAGTTAGTTACTCCGCAAAAACCGCCAACCGGTAGCGTCATCTAGACGTGGCGTTAGGTTTAGCTATCTCCTATGTCCGACAATGACTAGCAACGCGTCCTTGGGAACCCAGAAACCAAGATCCGATCCACGCGCTCTGGCGGCGAGTATCAAGATGTCTGATGTCTGATATGGCCGTTTCTTCGTCGTCTCTCGATGGTTTTCTTCTTGCTTTTCGCGGCCGCAAACGGAAGGTTTTTGACGTTCGTTTTAACTGGAGCTCGAGCACAGTCACGTGAAGAAGCCAAGACCAAGACATTAATAAGCAAAAACTGACGCTAGTTTATTTTTGGAACGGCATGGAATAACATATAGCCGAAGGAGCATGGACCCACCCACTTCCGCTTTTGGGGGTTCCAAAGGTTGGCAGTGAAGCCGCCGAAGGAACGTCGAGGAAGCCATTTTCAACGCCGACATCGCAGAGCATCAGACATCACAGGAAGCACAGCAGCAGCGAGAAGCAGCAGAAGAAGAAGAAGAAGAAGAAGAGCCGCCAGCTAACAGAAGAACTACCTGACTTCCGACTGAGCTCCCCCGAGCCTTGTGACCTTGGACATTACCCCCGCCTTAGCTCGCTTGCCGCTTGTCATACAAGGCCGCAAGTTGATATCAAAGTCTTCAACACCCATCACCAGCCGATAAGCGGTAGCAAAATGCAGGCCATACCAGATGCCCGTCATCAGACGTTCGAGGAGATCTATGGGCCTCCCGAGAACTTTTTGGAGATCGAAGTATGAGCTGCCCGTTTTTTTTTTTTCTTGCCATGCTTTGTTTTTACTTTTGCTGACTTACTGGCCCTTGCGCATTTACAGGTGAGGAACCCTCAGACGCACGGCACATCTCGCAATATGTATACGTCGTATGAAATTGTCTGTCGGACCAATATCCCAGCGTTTAAGCTGAAACACTCTGTTGTTCGTCGCCGATACTCAGATTTCGAATACTTCCGAGATATACTGGAAAGGGAGAGCGCACGAGTCACGATACCGCCACTTCCAGGAAAAGTGTTCACAAACCGCTTCAGCGACGATGTGATCGAACACCGTAGGGAAGGGCTTCAGCGGTTTTTGCAAATAGTAGTCGGTCACCCCCTGCTTCAGACTGGAAGCAAAGTTCTGGCCAGCTTTGTACAAGGTAAATATCTACCCTTATCTATATGATATACGCCATAAACTAATTCTCTACATCTTTAGATCCAAACTGGGACCGTAATGCTTGGTGATGCAATCAACAAGTGTCTTAATTTCTTAATTTTTACGAATCCCATCCTGTTTTCATTCTAATATAACATGAACTCCAGCCTTATGTCTCGGCCATATGATTTACCTTGTTGGCACGGAAGGTGCTGATTTACTAGCTATGTCCTATCTTTCTTATTTTAGTCCCTTTTCCTTTTCAATCTAGGAGCTGGCTGTTGCTACAAGGCGTTACTGGTGCTAGCTAAACATATATCCATGTCCCATTTTCCTTCAGGCTGAGGAACGCTGAAAAATTCGCAGCTAGCCAAGTGACTCTATCTTTCTTATCTCCTTACCGCTAATAATCCATAAATATTTTTAAAGCTAAGCAAGGTGGTCAACAACTGGTTTTATCTTGTTTCTTTAAGCGTTCTTTTTTTTTTTTTTTTGCGCCTTTATTACAGTATATACCGAAGCGATTCACTTTTTGCCAATAACTCGGAGAGAAACTGGTCTACCTTGACTTATAATTATTCCGCTCTCCAACGAGTTATACGTAGCAGAGAACTAGAAACGTGGCGGTAAAATCTGTCAATATTTTGAAATATATATATATGAGTAACTCTTTCCGTCGTAATATTTGTGATTATGGTTATGGTGGTATAATTAGCTATAGAGTCAAGGACAAGCATCATAAATGGATGGAAATTGCTATCACCCTAACTCTTCCCAAACTAACGGGGGTAAAGTGACGTCGTCAGATCGCCCTAGGGTAGATTCACTAGCACTGACACTTGTACCGTCATCTATAGTTGTAAAGGTAAAAGCAGTGCTCAATGGTGGCGCTGGAGGCAGCATTGCCGGGTCGATAGGCATTGCACTTGCAGTCATGGTAGATAGAAAAATGTCATTTGCAGGTGTGGATGATGGATTCGTTTTTGCATTTTGTTCGCATGCTGTGGTTTTTGTACCTGTCCCACTATTACTTGGCCGCCGAAGGTTTCCCTTGCCAAGTCGGGATTCTGCAACAGGTGAGTGAAAATTAGACCGTGGTAAGTGTTCTTTTGTGGTTGAGCTAGCTGGGGCAGTTGAAGACGGCCCTTGTTTCTCGCCCTCAGCAGGGTCAGATGCAGTACTTAGCACGGTGGTATTGTTGCTGGTGAGTGGTATAATTTTTGCTGTCGCTGACCCTCCTTCCCGGTAAGCGTTAGGAAACTTAGTTCTAAACCTGTCCCTAAGGTCCGTGGCTTTTCGATGCATTAGATTAAGATGCTTGTCCTGGCGTATTAGTGTCCATTGGAAGCCATGGACTGCATAGCCTTTGAGAAGTGCTTCGTCTTCCGCTTGCGAAAAAGGACGTCTTGACCGTCTGTTTGCTTTGACAGTAGCGTCGGGATCAGGCAACCCAAGAGCAATCAATGTAGATTTTGTTTTCTTTGAAAGAGCGTCACTCCCCCTTGCCGAGGGGCGGGCTTTGCGGTGGGATTTATGTGAGGCTGTGGGGATTTCTGATGTAACAGAGCTTTCTGTACCGGAGGGGAATGGAGAGATGGTGTGGGATTTAGATGCGGTAGGAGGCATGTTTCCTGTAATGTTTTGAAGCGTAGACACGGAACTTGTGAGAGAATTTGGTTCAGAAATCCCCTTGGTTTTCCTGGGATCAGGTAAGAAAATCTTCCCAGATTGTCGATTATTCGTATTATCTGCAAGTGTCTGGGGCTTTCCATCAGGTTGGTAAGCCCACGAACAGCAAACACGAAACCTGTCCTTCAAATTTGTCGACGTCCTATCGTTGAAGTTTAGGTCAGATTGTGCGAGTATGGAAGCCCAATTACCAACTCCACACCTTACAACTCCGCGTAATAAGTCGTAGGTCTCCTCATCTGTCCATTTTCGAGCCTTTTTCCTCCGTTGGGATTTCGGTGCAGTTTCACCCATGTCTTTTGGATCATTTTCATTATTCGCCCACTCGAAAGATTGTTGAGACTCTACCTGAGTCTCAGTCGTTAACGCAGGTATCTCCAGAGAGGCTGCGTTGCCCATAATGCGATCTTTACCCACAGTCTTTTCATTATCTTCCGCATGTTGCCTTGGTTTACTTCCTCCATTATTTTGAATGGATGAGCCGTTAGTTGTAGTTGACATTTGCTGGATTCCACATGTCGGGATATTGAGAGACCCGTTGGGTTCGATGGGTGGGAATAGGGCGGCATTTGGCGGTGGCTCGTTTAACCCATTCAAAATCGTTAATGGCCCGAAAGGAGGACGTTGTTTAGGTACCTCCTTTTGGTTTTTCGGTATTGGAAGCTGCAGATGGTCTCCGAACGTGTCAGCATATTGGTCGACCCGGCGGCGTTTACGAGGCAACACCTCTTGTTCGAAGGAGGAATAGGGTAACTTTTCAACAGCTCGTAGGTTTATAAAGGCCGGGAGCACTGTTTTAGGTGGGTTGTCGGCGCTTGGTATCGGGTCTGTGACTGCTGGTTTGTCTGATTGTGCTGTGTTGTTAAGAAACCCCGCTACTGTTAGGAGCTCTGATTGCTGGTTGGACGCGGCAAGCGTTGACTTGGAGTTATATTTGGACTCCCTGATTGTCCCGGCATTGGGCTCAAGTGGAGACGGGGGTTTCCGCGATGGTGGTGGAAGAGGGTCTCGGAGGGGAGGGATCTTTAGATGCGGCAGTTGGTGCATCTCACGATTCTGGGAGGATGGTGCATCCGAGTTCGCGGAGGCCAAAGGGAGAGAGCCTACGAAGGCATCCATGCTGAAGTCCTACCTCAACATGCGCCTCACATTGTTCCAAGCGTCGGCGGCCAGCGTCGAGTCGCTTGTTGCATGTTCTTGCGGTGATATCACTTCCACATCACACGAGGCTCGCTTCGAGCAACTTCAGTGTCTGGAAGCTTAGGTAAGGTGAAGGTTCCATCTGGGCGGCGTTATTCGGAAGTTAGTTTCTCCGGCGTACGATTAACCTCTTTCCAGTTTAGGACTAGCGGCCGCAATTCCGGAACCCTAATTTGATATCCGGGTTTCCTAGCTTATATAATCACTATGCAATGTTTATTTTTCTCAACATCAAAAAAAGGAGCAACATAACAGTGTTGATTGAATACACAGAGCTCTCCAACGCCACCCCAAGTGCGAAATCCTTGCTTTTAACTATCCCCCCCGTAACTGTGACACACCCAAGCCCTGGCATAAGCGCCAGTCGACGTGGCTGAGACGTGGTAAATCATCCCTTGCTAGTAAGAAAAGCGCACCAATGGCGTATCGATAGGGATTTCACCGCTACCTTGACCACATCATGAATGGACAGCCAAGTCCTAACCAGGTCCATACCGCCCTTATCAGGGTGCTTTTGTTTCTAGGCTCGCATCAAATCAGAGAACGACAAGCCACAACAGGCGTAAAAAGTCTTCAATTTCAGGCCCGCCTCTGTCAAACCAACTAAATATTTTGTAGTAAAGAACTTTATCGGCAATACCCGGTGAGCAAATACATCATTGCATTCTGGGAACATGGGCCCTAGGTATACCTTGCAGTTTGCCACGTCTGTTGAACGCACATCTTGCTCTATATATTTTCGGGGGAGCCGTCAACGTGACTGAATAGAAGTGCGTTGAAGCCGTCCTGGCAGACGGCTGAGGGCAAGATTAGAAGCGCAAAAAGAATTTCAGTTCTGCGCCACATGTCTTTCATGGGAAAATCCGGTATTTCCAAACATTATACAGTTTCCATGCTCAGCTGGCATCGGCCCTTTTCAAGGGTATCACTCCTTCCTCTCAAGGGAAAGGCCGGGCGGCACAGGCGGTTACGTTCCTTCTATTCTGCATCGTCACCGACACACCCAACGCAGCCGTGTTTATATTAACGGTATGCAAGTCGGTGGTTACACGAACTTGAACAGGATATTGTAAGTGTCGTATTCGGTGAACCGAGACACCCTTATTGTGGCTTCGTTTGCTAGGCTCCTCTTGATTTCACAAAATTTGCATACTATTGCAGTATGATTATCAGATGGCCCTTTCACTGACAGTTATGTCCATGTGATCCTTTCGTTAAGCACCACAGAAGAACTATTCCCCATTGGATGTGCAATCAGAGATACGACGATGGATGCGAAGGGTATTTTCTTAAGGGCAGCTCGGCAGACGCTTGTTTCTGTTACATTTTTTGGTCGAATTCGTCATTTCTGCAGGGGCAGACGGGCAACAGGCAGTTATGGATGGATCGGAGGTGACGGTCTTCCATCTCGTATTTTTAACTACGTAATTTCATGAGTACATGATATAAACACAGGCTATGGAGAACAGCTGTAATTTTGTGAAGACAAAATATGGGTTGTACGGGGCGCTTAGATAGGTGTTATTGACTTACATATACAGCGATACATTCGGATTTATAGAAGTTCAGGTCCGCATGTCATCCCCACCCCGCTATGACTCCGCGCCAGGAACTGTACATACTTCGCCTCCTCGATACCTCCGCAGATATAAGGCATTCATACCACGCGGCTGAGTTAGAAAGTTAAATTTCAAAAGGTCAAGGTGGGCCTCAGATGTGGCGATAATGGTCGTTCTGATTTAAAATTCATTCTACCGGATGCAGTAACACTGATGTTGGATAGGCTATTGGCCAGCTGGTAAAAGGCTGGATCCAAAACATGGCGTTGGGTATACAGATATTTCATTCGTTCATGGTGTCCGGTCTCCGCACTTCAGCTACCTCTTGTTCATAACATGGTGATTGTCGATCGAGCTCAGTCCATTCTGTTCCTTGACCCCAAGCTATACGCGGAGATTGGTCGGTACTCAGGTTAAAGTTCCAAATCAGTCCGTGTGGAGCTGGGATATCGGCTCGGAATTGGTAAGGATAGTATGTATTAATGTAATCCAGTTCACAGGCCTGCTGAAAGCGGCCGTTCCGATCCACTGGAGAACGGGCTGGAAGCTTCTCTAGCTGTGGCTGGCAAGTGCGCAATCACTGGCCTCGAGAATAAGACCTCATCTGTAGGATCTCATTCGCTCGACGAGAGAGAACAAAGCGCTCCAGATTTCATATCAGTTCATAGCGTGGGCCAGATTAACATAGTCCACATATGAGATAGGTGGCCAAGATTCATTCAATTGGTGTTGGATCCTGGCACAAACGGATGAACATGGCTCCTTCTCATCTTCCTTCATACAAGTGGACGACAGGAATAGCCGGTGTTAGGACCGGCTCACTTTTCGCTTATCACTATGAATGTGGAGTTGATCGCCTAGAGTATCGGGTCCAAACAGCCCCTGAGCCTGCAAGGGTATAATCATACTGGGTTTGAAGGCTTGTAAGTACAATTGAAACAGCCACATGTATAAAAGGAAACGTCTTGGTTGGAAATGCGATATTGAGAAATTAAAGGCTTCCTAAAATAGGCGGACGATCGACCCTGATTTTCAATGAACGCAAAGAGGGAACATCGCAATAATTGCATCTTCTCCGTGTGATTGATATTCCACAATATGCGGGAGTAAGAATGGGATTCCTGGTCGTGCTCGCATTGTTTCCCTGTAAAAGTTATAGTTGCTAGCTGAGTCCATTAGTTTAAAGCAATAGCTATGGGGAGATTGTTGGGAATCATCATTCAGTTCCAAAAATAGGTCGAAAACATTCATATTTGCTTTTTGAAGACCATAGAGCATAGCTGTAGCCGAGTAATAGTTTCTTAACCGATGTAGAATCTGTAATAAATCGTTTATGTTAGTGTCACTATAAGAGAGTGCAGCAAGGAGACTAATAAAGCTAGATATCAATACGTACGCAGATGCAACTTTTGAAGAATGTAGCCATTTCGGGAAGTGCGCGGCAGCATTCCTCAGTAGAGGAGCAGAGTAAATGCCATCTACCAGATAGCGATCGTAGTGCAGCGGTGTCCTCAACGAAGCTTTGCACTGAAAGAGAGGAAAATTCTTTTGCATCAATATGTGTAAGCTTTCTTGCTAGAGGCTCGACCTCTCGAAAGGCAAAGAAGTCATTCAAGTATGCCGGATTCGCGTCAAAAGGGGCACTCCAATCTATTTCTGCCGAAGTCCGGTATTTGCGTTCAAAACTGAGAGCGAGGACCGAGAGCTTTTTCAGCATAGAGGGCAAACCGGTCAGGTGGGCTTTAAACAGTTCCTGGATAGGGCGGATGATATACCCCACAACCCATTGGTTTGATTGATCAGGTACTTCACTATTTAATAAGCCTCTAACACTGAGACACTGCAACAAGACATATTGTGCAAATGGGGAACCGCCTCGGAGGTGCTATCGTAATGTTAAAATCGAGGGACAAGTCATTAAATCGGACAGTACCTACCCGTTAAACTTCAACATAGGTATCAAACTCTCCAGGGAATAAGTCCAAATGAGCAGAGACTATGTCATGCAGCTGTTTGTGTTGGGAGAAGAACCATTGAATCGACTCAGTAGGATATCCCAAGGCATACCGGATCCAGTCCTCGAAGGGCACAGCTTGGAATTGTCGTGAGCTTTCAACATCAATATAAGAAGCAATAGTCCTTGGCTCGGCATTATACGAATAATTTGGGTGCCACCTCCAGGGCTCCACGGGAACGGTCCTGAGCTGGCATAGTTCCAGTATTTCTTCCACCTTGTCATGGTGAGACAATTCTAAGGGAAACATCCCTAGTTCTGCTGGAAGTAAGGACGCAAGGAAGCCTGAAACAACGTCTGCATTACGGTTCTGCAGTACGTGGCGAGGTAGCTCATCGTCTTCATACAAGCGAAACCGGAGGAGCCTCTTGATGTCCTGGTGGTCAAATGCCCAAAGTATCATGGAGGCACCGTCTTCCCACCATCTATAAGGCACATAAAACTGAGGTAAGGCTAATTGAAAGCTGAAGGTGGGCTCTGGTGCGGTCGATGGCAGTGGCTCCGATGAAGACCGATCCGTACGCCCTTGGTGAAGACGAATGGCAGGATGAGACAATGCCCGATGTGGTCCTATAGCTTTTCCATGCCAGGAATGAGACTGATTCCCATGAAGCAGCGGCGAACCGTGTCTGATAAAAAGTGAGCTGTTCATGTGCTTGGGGTACGCCATATCAGAAAGCAAATGTATAAGGCGGTAGGTAAACAAAATCAGCAAACAGCATCAGTCGGTCTGGGGTAAATTCCATTCAATTCAAGCAGAGAAATTTTATGTCCGGCCAGGACAGTGTGAGAGCACCCTAGATATGGTCGAAATTAGGGATTAAAAGGTATTTTTTTGGGCCACCCAAGGAAATTTTAGAAACGAGGAAGAAATCAACGCAAAAATGAGAATAGTTTAACGGGGAGAAACGTCTGATGGAAACTGATGGTAATTGGAGAAGCTTAATCCTTGTCAGGAAGAGGTTTGTTATTTGCTTTAAAGGAGTCACGGAACGGCGCATTGGCCACTTGGTTTAAGGTTGGATAACCCAATAGACCAACCACACTGGGCGTGGACTGGATGATGGCTCGAGACAATCCATCTAGACCCCGATGCTTGAAATATGTGGACACCAAGTTACTGAGCTGCAAGGGTGGCGCCTCTTGGCGGCGCTCTAGTGGATAAGTAACATTGTCCATTGTGGGCGACGATCCAGTGTCTTGGATTCCGCCCCAGAATATCCGCACAAGAAGAGCGGACTAAGCGTTCAGGAAAAACGGATGGTCGAGCTCCAGAAGCTCAGGTTGCAAAGGTGGATCAATACCGTCCGGACACAGCCGAGAAGATCGGCTAAAAAAGCTATGCTGATATCTTTTAAGGGCAGCAGGATTCAACCCCTAAGCCCACAGAGGCTGAATCTTCGAGCCATCTTGTTTGAATGTGAATAGTTAATCCAGCAGCACCCTCAGCAGAAGCAAATACTTCCTCTTGCCTTATGTATGCAACTAACAATGACACAGTACTCCGTAACAGACGAGAATCTGTAGTTATAATTGACTAGTGCAGAAGGCCGAGGGAGAATATTTTTCTGATGAGCCGATCGGGAGCTAATTGGTTGCAAACAGTCAGGTTATTCTATTGAACGCACGATATGTCGTCCAAAGAAGATCTCAAAAGGAGACAGTGTCGTAGTCCTCGGGAGTTGCCACTCCCCCAAGGTTTTGTTAAACATATTGCATTGCCCATTGTAATCCCCATTTGTGTGGTTGTGGCAGAACGACACTTCAGTAAGCGTGCACCTGGCATTAAAGGAAGGCGTGTGCTTCATTGGTCATTATCGAGCTTCCAGAGCCAAAGGGGCACCTCAATTGACTGGGAAGATGAATGATGCATGGCAATGGGTCAAATAATAAGTATGGAGCTGCCCCTTCACCCTTAGCCGCCACTGCCAAAGGGAAAAAAAAGAAAGAAATCCGCTTCATTTTCGGGGTGGGCTCGATAACTAGTTACTTGTGTCGTAATTAGCGGCCCAGATCCCACGCACTATGGCGACACAGTATCTGGGGAGTTCTCGCGATGGAATACTCCCTGCTGCCAGATGCTGTTGTGGATTGGTGAGGACAGTGACGGAGAAGTGCTTCGCGTACCGTATATATCCCGTACACTTCAACCATCTAAACGGAGCATTCCTTCATATGGAATGAATGGCGATTCAGCCATCTAATTTGAAGTAACTACTCAGTGATGCCGACTTCCGTCCTGAATGTGATGACTGAAAAGAGTGAAAAGAGCCAGAACACTGAGAAACGTTACATGACCAAAGCCACGCTCAAGGCGAGGATGAAGGAAGGTGAGCGTGCGTCGGAGATTCTCCATATCATTTGATCAGGAGCGAGGTGGATTTGGATTTAGCTTCCGTCTGGAGTCTAGCTCCGCCATTTTATGTGCGCCTTGACTATCAATGTATCCTCGAACTAGGCATGCGGAGGAGGAAGAACGACTCAAGTGCTTTGGTGGCTAAAGATTGCTTTCAGGCTTTGATTCTCCCTGCGGTCATGACAGTTTCTTCTTTCGTTTCTGCTTTCTTTTTTCTTTCTTATCGATAAAACCCAGGAGATAGAATTTTGGGTAAATCAAGACGAGGAAGTGTGCTAACGTTTAGATGCCTGCACAGAAGGGAGTGCTACGTCAAAATATAAAGCGTCTGTCATGCAGTGCACAGGGTACGGCGAGCGGAAGAGCAGCGGGATATCCCTCTCGGGGCTGATAATTGAGTTCGTGAATCCATATTCCCCAGCGAAGCTCTGAAAACAGGGGCTTTTAATCCCCTACCGATAAAAGCCCGATTATTGACCGCAGGCTAATTATTCCGATCATGCATGATGTTTTAAGGTTGCGGAGACGGAATGAAGTATAGCATCCAAGTGGATTAGTAGCAACCAGTACCCAGATAGACTCGGTAGGAGAATAAAACCCATGTGAGGAAGGAAGATGCTAATAATGTTGCATAAAACATGTCGAATAGATGAATGTTTTGTTAGAGACCGTCACTGCTAGAGTCTTCATATGCGTGATACTTAATGGAGCATATGGCCTTTTCCACTCCACTTTGGTTATGGGACGGGTTCAGCCCAGCTATCGCAGTCATCGGGGAAGACATGCCTCCAAAGCCGTAACGGCACACTTTTTTCGAAACCACGATCTAGGCAAAGTAGATCGTATTATAACCCCTGCCCTAGAATGTGGTATATGTCATGAGGGCACATGAGTACTCGTCAGATCGACAAACCCGGGATTTGATGTGGTTAAGCCATAAAAACATGATATACAAATATCACCTTGGTCCATGCAATTTCCCTATGGCCTGGAAAGGCGCTAATAGGGCTATATGAGCCGTTGATGCTGCGTAATAATTGCAACTGTTTGCTATTATGACCCATCGAGCTAATTTGTTGACAAGTTACTCGAGAACTGGCGGGAAGCAACTGATTGGCATCCACCAGTGCAGAGGGACGGGAGCCCCCACATATAACTCCTTAGTAACGGAGGCACTCGTTCTCGGGTGGCAGCCGTATTCCTCAATCCTCTACTCTCATAGGCCCATTTATAACGGACATGTTTCTAGGCATCGTCCCCCTTGTTCGAGTCGAACGAGCCATAATTCTGAGACGTTGAGTCGTTACAGGATCATTGTATCTGAATCACAGATTCTCAGTTCATTTCTGAGCCTTCCTGTCAAATTCTCTCGATTCTGGGTTCCGGCCGCCAATCGTATCTGCCCTTGATGTTGATCCACGGTCACGACGTCCATGAGTGAAGTGGATAAAAGTTTTCCCGGGCTGTCTGGGACTGGATCAGGGCTGGGGCCAGGGCTCCCGGGTAGGTTGGCCGTTATTGGACGGCACCTAGCTGGCTGAGCTGAGCTGAGGCCCGCGGGAGCTAGAGGCAAGTCTAAGCGCAAGCCAAAGACCTATAATTTTTCCAGCTAAGGCGATGACTTCTAAAGGGGGATTGACCCTGTACCAGACGGTCGGGTGAATCAACTAACTAGCTCTCTGCCTTGCTGTGGTCTCCTTTTCTTTTTCTTCGCCTTTCGGTGATGTTCAGGAGCTCGGGCCAAAGTCGAGATGTTGCCATCGTTACTGAGTATGGCCTGCATATCTGAAGGCCACTAGAGAGGGACAACCGAATAGCTAACTGCTTAGAAGTTTTCGGTAACACCATCATCAACGCGCGAGGTGTTTATACAAGATCATTTCATACGCGAACCGACTCAAAAGAATGGTACATTATAATTTATGGAATGGTATAAACACGACCAGCCCTTAAGAAGCCGGTGCAGGAGGAGCTTTGTTGGCAGCCTGGGGTGGTGGCAGGAAGAGAGGCATATACGTCTGAGGGGAGAAACAGTCAGTATGTGCCTCAAGTTATCTGTATACCACTAATCATAGGATGAGCGGCATGGAGGCGTACATACCACAACGACCGCCATTGCTGAATGAATGGTTAATATACAATACAAAACATATATTTCAGAAAAAGGGGAAGTATGACGTACCTGACATGAAAACGGACATGTATGCGGGAGTGGTAGATGCCTTTCTTTGGTCTTCGCTTTCCGCTAGCCATGTCTGGAGGGTGAAGACAAGGGAGGACCTAGGTGATGTTAGCTATCACTCCGGAGTGTAACATTAACTGCAGCCGTAGTAACGGCTTGTATCTAAGGGAGGAAAAGAGAAGGAGGAGGA